TGGGCACACACACATATACACACCCCTCCATCTCACTTTTTCACAAAACTAAGATAGTTTATTAATGCTATTATTTTTTAATGTCTTCGTAGAAATAAATTGGTAGGGTTGGCATTGTGGTGTAGATGGTAAGGCTACCATCTGCAGTGCCTGCATCCCATATGGGCACCGGTTCCAGTTCCAGCTGTTCCACTTCCAATTCAGATCTCTGCTGTGGCCTGGGAAAGCAGTGGAAAATGGCTCAAGTCCTTGGGCCCCTGCACCCACGTGAGAGACCCAGAAGAAGCTCCTGGCTCCTGGCTGATTAGGATCAGCACAGCTCTGGTCACTGTGGTCATCTCAGGAGAGATCCAGCAGATGGAAGACCTCTCTCCCTCCCTCCCTGTCTGCCTCTGCATTTCTGTAACTCACAAGGAAGGGAAGGAGGGAGGGAGGGAGGGAGGAGGGAGGAGGTAGGAGGGAGGAAGGAAGGGAGGGAGGAGGAAGGAAGGAATAAATTGGCCATCTCATTTAATGTTACCTTTTTTTAGAATTCATGCATTCACAATTCATTCAACAAATAGTTACTGCAAGGCTACTATGTACGAAGCACTATGTTTTGCTATAGGAACACATCAGTGAGCAAAAACAGACACTTCTTTCCCTCAAGAAGCCAATATCCTACTCGGCAGAAATAGTCAATTTAAAGAAGTGAACCTACAGTACAGCACTGTACTGTAGGGGATCAGCACTACAGGTGAATAGAGGAGGAACAGAGAGAGCCACTGGAGTGAGAAGATTGCTTTTTTTTTTTTTTTTTTTTTTTTTTTTAACAGGCAGAGTGGACAGTGAGAGAGACAGAGAGAAAGGTCTTCCTTCCGTTGGTTCACCCCTCTAATGGCTGCTACAGCCGGCGCACTGCGCCAATCCGAAGCCAAGAGCCAGGTGCTTCTCCTGGTCTCCCATGCGGGCGCAGAGCCCAAGCACTTGGGCCATCCTCCACTGTCTTCCCGGGCCACAGCAAAGAGCTGGCCTGGAAGAGGAGCAACCGGGACAGAATCCAGCGCCCTGACCAGGACTAGAACCCAGTGTGCCGAGATTGCAGTTTTAAACAAGGAATGGTCAGAGAAGGCCTTACTGTGGAGAGGTAAATGGAGCCAAGAACCTTAAGAGGGGAAAAGCCATATGAATACCTGGGAGATGAGGGCTGCAGGTTCAGTGTGGGCAAAAGCACTAGGTCAGGGTGCATGCTGTCACCTCCCTATTGTCTTCTCCCACTATTCTGCACATCCCTCACTTGACTCCAACCAGGAACTGGCCTCCTTGTTGTTACTAAAATAATTACACTGATGAGAAGGGAGTGTAGAGCCAGTGAGGCAGCGTAGACCCAAAGAAGCTCCACCATGGGGTCCTACTTCTCAAACTGAAAAGTAGGGTATCATTTTACGATGGAAAGGAAGCCCTGGCAACAACCACCCCTGCAACAAAACTGTGTCAGTGATGGAAACAATTTTATCTGTTCTGTTCAGCAAATGGCCATTACTCACATGAGGCTGTTGGGCACTTGGAAAATGTGGCTACAGTGACAGAGGAACTGAAATATTAATTGTATTTTATTTTAATAAACTGAAATAGTCAAATGTGCCTACTAGCTAGTATACTGGCCAGCATAATTCTATAGTAAAGGCAGATCCTAAGAATACAGGGATTCCTCTTTAATAGAGACTCCTGACTGCTAAAGAAATATGTTTCGGCCGGCGCCGCGGCTCACTAGGCTAATCCTCCACCTAGCGGCGCCGGCACACCGGGTTCTAGTCCCGGTTGGGGTGCCGGATTCTGTCCCGGTTGCCCCTCTTCCAGGCCAGCCCTCTGCTGTGGCCAGGGAGTGCAGTGGAGGATGGCCCAGGTGCTTGGGCCCTGCACCCCATGGGAGACCAGGAAAAGCACCTGGCTCCTGGCTCCTGGCTCCTACCACCGGATCGGCGTGGTGCGCCGGCCGCAGCGCGCGGGCCGCGGCAGCCATTGGAGGGTGAACCAACGGCAAAGGAAGACCTTTCTCTCTGTCTCTCTCTCTCACTGTCCACTCTGCCTGTCAAAAAAATAAATAAATAAATAAATAAAAGAAATATGTTTCGTTTCATTTCATTTGCTAAAGTTTAAGTTGGTCTAATAAGAATTCAATAACTATACATGGGAATTTTGATAGCTTTATCATTACAAAGCATGTATTAACCATTATCTGCCATATAGTTCTTTGGCAACTGCATTAAAAATATTGCTCAAAGGCTTTCTTATTTCAGTTTTAGGATTCCTATGTGAATTTTTTTATTGTTGAAAAACAATTTAAAAAAATTTAAAATCTGTTTTATGTCAAGCCGTGTTTTTTGCTGGCGATTTTTTTCTGTTCAACCTAATTTGTTTTAAGCTAATATACAATTTTTTTTTTTTTGACAGGCAGAGTTAGAGAGAGAGAGACAGAGATAGAGAGAAATTTCCTTCCGTTGGTTCACCCCAATAATGGCCACTACAGCCAGCGCACTGCACTGATCCGAAGCCAGGAGCCAGGTGCTTCCTCCCAGTCTCCCATGCGGTTGCAGGCGCCCAAGCACTTGGGCCATCCTCCACTGCCTTCCCGAGCCACAGCAGAGAGCTGGACTGGAAGAGGAGCAATCAGGATAGAATCCGGCGCTCCAACTGGGACTAGAACCTGGGGTGCTGGCGCCGCAGGCAGAGAATTAGCCTACTGAGCCGTGGCGCCGGCCAGCTAATACACAATTACACACAAATGTAACAATATGAATAAAATATAACAAATGGGATATGAAATCATAAAGCACACATTTATATGTTATTATATTCTAACAAAATAAGATCAAAGACTATACTGCAATTAGTAGGACTATTTCTTGGAGACTGGTACGCACATGCCTTTATTTTCCACAAAACCAGAAAGAGATACTCATATTTTAAGATATGCAAAGTTAATCTTCAAAAACCATATTTAACTATATAAAAACAAGCTATTCTAAAAGAAAGGCACATGCATACACACTACACCAAAAACATCACTGCTAAAGCTACACAAGAAAACTGTGTGTTTCAGAATTTCTATGCTGGAATCAACAGCACCCAGAGACGATGAAAGCCAGTTACTAAAAAAATTTATTGCTTGGTTAAAACTCAGTTTACAATTCAAAGGAGTTTTAAAATCTCTGTGCTGTTATGAAGCTTTATGGGGTTTACAGTGGAGATGAAAACAGAAATAAAAAGATCTGACAAACAGAAAATGCCATAGATACTTCCAGCATTATCAGCATGGATTCCCCCCACAACCCCAGCAGTGCTTTCTACCTTCTTCCAACACAACGACTTTAACTCATCTGCCTGAAAAGACAACTGTGTTTCCTAGGGTCCTTTTCTAAATGTAAATGTTTGATGAGCAAAACCGAGCAGAATATTACTTTTATAACTTAGAAAACAAACCAAAATGTAAACTCCATGAGGGCAGGAAGTTTTGATAAGAATTCTCAATGCCTTGAACGGTGCCTGACTTATAGTATGTAACCAGCAAATACTTAACTGAATTAATAACCAGACAAGACCTTTTTACTGAAATAAAAAATCCAAACTCTATTATAACATTTGTGTAGACATTAACATTGGGCATCTAGACTTACACTACCTAACAAACTTTTATGTTACCATTAATACATAAAACAAAGGCCTTTTTAAAGCTAACTGCTAATTTACAGAATTAGTCAAGGGTTTTTCAAATCTACTATTTCTATGCACTCTAAAATCCTTTCCAACTCTAAAATTTATTTATTCTAATAATGAACCAAAACTGTAAAAGAAAAACCTAGGCCGGCGCCACGGCTCACTAGGCTAATCCTCCGCCTTGCGACACCGGCACACCGGGTTCTAGTCTTGGTCGGGGCGCCGGATTCTGTCCCGGTTGCCCCTCTTCCAGGCCAGCTCTCTGCTGTGGCCAGGGAGTGCAGTGGAGGATGGCCCAAGTCCTTGGGCCCTGCACCCCATGGGAGACCAGGATAAGTACCTGGCTCCTGCCATCAGATCAGCGCGGTGTGCTGGCTGCAGCGCACAGGCCGCGGTGACCATTGGAGGGTGAACCAACGGCAAAGGAAGACCTTTCTCTCTTTCTCTCTCTCTCACTGTCCACTCTGCCTGTCCCCCCCCCAAAAAAAAAAAAAAAAAAAAACCCTGAAACCTATTCAAACTGGAACACCATGGAATGCTAAAAAATTATTTAAATTACTAAAGAAATGGATCATTCTGGACTTTTCACATTTTTCTAACATTCTTTAAAGGGTATTTTCTAGGTATCTGCTTAGTTTTTTTTTTTTTTTTTTTTTCCCCCACAGGCAGAGTGGACAGTGAGAGAGAGAGACAGAGAGAAAGGTCTTCCTTTGCCATTGGTTCACCCTCCAATGGCCGCCCCGGCCGGCCGGCACACTGCGCTGATCCGAAGGCAGGAACCAGGTGCTTCTCCTGGTCTCCCATGGGGTGCAGGGCTCAAGCACCTGGGCCATCCTCCACTGCCTTCCCGGGCCATAGCAGAGAGCTGGCCTGGAAGAGGGGCAACCGGGACAGAATCCGGCGCCCCGACTGGGACTAGAACCCAGTGTGCCAGCACCGCTAGGTGGAGGATTAGCCTATTGAGCCGCGGTGCCGGCTTAGTTTTGTTTTATATTACTGTCATAACCATCACTTTGAAAATAAAATGAGATGTTATATAATAAACTGCACTGTGCTTTTTAAATTTTATACCAAAAGAGCAAATTTATTTTAAAAGTAAAATGTAATATGCACTGGAAAATACTGAGATGGAATGTTTGCTGAAATGCTGTTTACTGCAAAAATCCCAATGTTTGATCAACTAACACTGAAGTTTAAATTAGGTCTAAACTCAGGAAACTGGCCTTCATAATATTTAACATGATGTTTGTCTTTATAAGGTAGATGTCTCCTAAGGAAAGAAGATTCAAATGTCCTTGACTTACAGTCAAATTTCGGTCCCAAATCTGGATGCTTCCATTCTGGCAGGCAGCTGCTACGAGGTTTCCATCTCTACTATATGTGCATGTAGTGGGAATCACTTTTTTACCCTGCATTGTCCGTGGTTTAAACACACTTTTCTGTTTCTTTGGATTTTCAACTTCCCATAACCTCACAGTCCTAAAAAGAAACAGAAGATATTCATTTATAATAAAGGATTTTAAAACAGGGAAAAGTCCACAAACACTGCCTTACCTTTTTAGTATGTAAATCTAATAATTATTTTAGATTAAAGCAAAACATGCCTTATAAAACATTTGCCATTAAGTTACCCGCAAAAATAAAGTGAGCCACCTACTTCAATTCTGTGGCTAGCTGAGACCCTCTCAAGCAGTGTTTTCCAACCTCCTCTTAACGAAAGCCCAGATAAATAAAATTATAACATGCAAAATGTGCAGCAAAAATTCAACCTCACAAATAATTATATTAATTGGAAATAATGTAAAGCACTAATTAGAAGGGAAAGGATGCTAAATGTGAAGTCCCAGTCAGGGCGCCGGATTCTGTCCTGGTTGCCCCTCTTCCAGTCCAGCTCTCTGATGTGGTCCAGGAAGGCAGTGGAGGACGGCCCAAGTGCTTGGGCCCTGCGCCCTCCTGGGAGACCAGGAGGAAGCACCTGGCTCCTGGCTTCAGATGGGCACAGCAAACCAGATGTAGCGACCATTTGGGAGGTGAACCAACAGAAAAAGGAAGACCTTCCTCTCTCTCTCTCTCACTAACTCTGCCTGTCCCAAAAAAAAAAAAAAAAAAAAAGTGATGAAATGAAAGCAAAACCCAGGAGAGTCCGTCATACATAGGTTAAGTGGGAACATAGATTATTTGCTTTTTTGATTGACCGAAGCAGGTTAATATCAAAAGGATGGAAAAAGAGTACCATGCAAATGGTCAGAAGACTATATTATTATTAGACAAGAAAGAAATCAGAACAAGAATACAAGCAGAGGCAGAAGAAAATATCGTAATAATCAAAATCAAGAGTTAGTTGGTCAAGATACACAATAACCCCAAAGGCTTAAACCTCTAATAACAGACCTACAAAATACAAGAGCAAATTTAATAAAGGCACACACCCACTTCTTTTGCAGTAATTGACAGACAAGAATTTTCATCCACCCCCCCAAAAAAAATCATAAGAATTACCAACTGACATGCACTAACTAACATTTAGAAAAGATGTCGTGCAACAAGTGGATTTACATTATTTTTCAGGTGCACACTGAACATTCATCAAGATAAATCATTCTCTGGGCCATAAAATCAAAGTCTGAAAACATACAAAGCATGTACATGATCAAAAATTAATAAGTAGTCCCTAAGAAAAATGTGTATAGAAATATATTCCAAAATATTTAGAAATAAGGAAATGTACTTCTAAATTATTCATGAGACAAAGAAAACCACAAGAGATACTACAAAATACTTTGAATCTAATGAAATTATTATGCTAAAGTAATGCATAGTATAGCATTAACTACATATATTAGAAAGGCCCAAGTGCTTGGGCCCTGCACCCCATGGGAGACCAGGAGAAGCACCTGGCTCCTGCCTTCAGATCAGCACAGTGTGCCGGCTGCAGCGGCCATTGGAGGGTGAACCAACAACAAAGGAAGACCTTTCTCTCTGTCTCTCTCTCTCTCTCACTGTCCACTCTGCCTGTCAATAAATAAATAAAGAAAGAAAGAAAGAGAAGAAAAGAAAAGAAAAGAAAAGAAAAGAAAAGAAAAGAAAAGAAAAAAGAAAAGAAAGGGAAAAAAGGCCTCAAATCAATTACTTCTAGATTTAATCTTAAAAAATCAGATATTTAGGGGCTGGCGCTGTGGCACAACAGGTTCACACCATGGCCTGAAGCACCACCATCCCATATGGGCGCTGGTTCGAGACCTGGCTGCTCCTCTTCCGATCCGGCTCTCTGTTATGGCCTGGGGAAGCAGTAGAAGATGGCCCAGGTCCTTGGACCCCTCCACCCACATGGGAGACCCAGAGGAGGCTCCTGGCTTCAGATCGGCACAGCTCCGGCCATTGCGGCCAGCTGGGAAGTGAACCAATGGATGGAAGACCTCTCTCTCTCTGCCTCTCCTCTCTGTGCATCTCTGACTTTCAGATAAATAAATAAATCTTTAAAAAATAATTAGATATTTTTAAAAAGGAAACAAAATCCAAATAAGCAGTAGGAAAAATGACAGAATTAATAAAATAGAAAATTCAAATAAAAAGTGATCAAAAGCTGATTCTTTGGAGAAGGTCAATAAAATTATTGAATCCTCCAGTTGGACTAATAATAGAAACTGGAGGGGCTGGTGCTGTGGCATAGTAGGTTAACTTTCCACCCATGGTGCCGACACCCCATATGGATGCCAATTTAAGTTCCAGCTGCTCCTTTCCGATCCAGCTCTCTGCTGATGGCCTGGGAGAGCAGTAGAAGATGGCCCAAATGCTTGGGACCCTATACCCACGGGAGAGACCCAGAAGAAGCCCCAGGCTCCTGGCATCGATTGGTCCAGCTCTGGCCAATGTGGCCATTTGGGGAGTGAACCAGAGGATGGAAGACCTCTCTCTCTCTGTGTCTCTCTGTCTCTCTCCCTCTCTCTGTCTGTAGCTCTGCCTCTCAAATAAATATTCTTTAAAAAAAAAAATGAAAGGAAATTGTAGGCAATATCAAATACCAATATCTTGAATGAAGGGGGGGATATTACTATAGGGCACAATTAACACTAAAAAGACAAGGGAAAAACCTACAAACAACTGTATACAAATATATTTGGTAATTTAGAAAAAACAGACAAGTTTGCTTAAAAGACAAAAACTACCAAAACTTATTCCATAAGAAAAAGTTAAATATATGATTAAAAACTTTCCCAGTAAGAAGTTTAGATGGCCTTACTATTAAAATTTTTAAATGTTTGGTAGAGGGGCTGGTGCGGTGGCATAGCAGGTTAACATCCTGGCCTGAAGTGCCTGCATCCCATATGGGCGTTGGTTCTAGTTCCAACTGCTCCTCTTCTGATCTAGCTCTCTGCTATGGCCTAGGAAAGCAGTAGAAGATGGCCCAAGTCTTTGGCTCCTTCACCCACGTGGGAGACCCGGAAGAAGCTCCTGGCTCCTGGCTTCAGATTGGCACAGCTTCAGCCGTTGCAGCCCATTGGAGAGTGAACCATCAATGGAAGACCTCTCCCTCCCTCTCTCTCTCTCTCTCTCTCTCTCTGCCTCTCCTCTCTGTATAAATCTGACTTTCAAATAAATAAATAAATCTTTAAAAAAAAAGTTTGGTAAAATTCTATACAAACTAGTCCATATAATTCTTTACAAATTCTTCCAGAAAGAAGAGGAAATATTTCTCAATTCATTCTTTAAGATAAGCATTACTCTCATGACAAAACCAAAAAACAAAACTTAAACCAATATTCCCTCTGAACACAAAAATCCTTAACAAAAGCTTAGCAAATTCAAACTAGCAGAGTAAAAAGAGGATAGTGCACCATGTTTAAGTGAAAACAATGGTTGAAATCATACAAAGTACATAGGAGCGCAAAGGAAGGTTTAAAGAATGGACAATCAACAGACTGAAAAAAGACATATGATCATCTCAAATAATGCAAAACAAACACTTGAAAAAAATCAACTTCCATTCATGGAAAAACCTCTCAGCAACCTAAGAATAGAAGGGAACTTCCTCAACCCAGGAGAGGACATCTACAAAAACTTCAAGTAATATACATAAAGGAAAAAGGCTGAACACTATATTTCTATGCTTGAGAACAGTCTTGATGTCAACTCTAGTCATTTCTATATACTGGAATTGCCAGTCAGAGAAATGAGACAAATAAATGAAAGGATTCATGATTGGAAAGAATAAATAAAACTCTTTATTAAAAGACCACATAGTCATGTATATAAACAATCTCAAGAACCTACCAAAAAAATCCTACTTTAATAGATGAGTTTATTAGCAAAGTCACAGGATATAAGCTCAATAACTATAAATTTTAAACTTTTTATTTATTTGTATTTATTATTTGAAAGAGAGGCAAAGAAAGAAAAAGACTGAGAGACACCACCTCTGCTGGTTCACTCCCCAAATGCCAGAATCAGACTCAGCCTGTATCTCCTACGTGGGTGGCAGGAATCCAAGTGCTTGGGTCTTTACCAATGCCCCCCAGGGTGTACATTAGCAGGAAACTGGAACTGGAAGCAAAGGCAGCACTTGAACCTAAGTACGCACTCTGATATGGAATGCAGGTATCCCAAGCAGTGTTTTTTTGTTTTTTTGTTTTTTTTTTTAAGATTTATTTATTTATTTTAAAGTCAGAGTTACACAGAGAGAAAAGGAGAGGCAGAGAGAGACAGAGGTCTTCCATCCGCTGGTTCACTCTCCAACTGGCCGTAAGGGCTAGAGCTGCACCATCTGAAGCCAGGAGCCAGGAGCTTCCTCCAGGTTTTCACATGCGCAAGGACTTGGGCCATCTTCTGCTTTCCCAGGCCATAGCAGAGAGCTGGATCAGAAGTGGAGCAGCCAGGACTTAAACTGATTCTAAAACTTATATGAAAATACAAATAACTTGGAACAGTCTAAGCAATTTTGAAAAAGTAAACTAGAGAATTTACTAAGGTCACATAAGCTGTGATTAAACATACAAGGGAATTTCTAAAAGTTCATGGAAATGGAATTAAAATATGTTTATTTTGGAGCAGAAGTTTTGAAATTCATGCTTCTTCTCATAATTCACATTTTCCATCAACTTTTGGAAGACCCCTCTCATTAACATCTATTCCTTCTACAAGAATTGCTCCTTAAGAACAAGCGTTCTGGGGCCGGCACTGTGGCATAGTAGATAAAGCTGCATATGGGTGCCGGTTTGAGACCTAGCTGTTCCACTTCTGATCCAGCTCCCTGCTCACGTCCCCAGGAAAGCAATGCAAGATGGCCCAAGAGCTTGGGCCCCTGTACCCATATGGGAGACCTGAAGAAGCTCCTGGCTCCTGGCTATTGACTGGCCCAGTCTGGACACTGCAGGCATTTGGGAGTGAACCAGCCAATGGAAGATAGCTCACTCGCTCTATTTCCCTCTCTCTCTCTCTCTCACACTCTGCCTTTCAAATAAAATAAATAAATCTTAAAAACA